TCAAGGAATGAAGGTAGAGTAGAATAGAGGAAAATATTTCATATAAAAAGACAAGTAACTAAGAGACCAGGTATTAAATGTAACAGCTATGTAGAACTTAAAGTCACCATGAACTCTGATAAGAATATATTTGGGAGGAAGACAGTAAAAGGTTTGGTTAGAGGTCTGCAACATGGCAATACTGAAGGATATCTCAGTGTTTTGAGTGAGGAGGGCACATAAATGACTGGGAAGTCACCTTAAAGATTCTGGAGGATGCCTGTTAGTTTTATCACTGTTATATAAAACAAGGAATTAAAAACAATCAGCAGTGAGATGAATATAGAAATATGCTTTGTAATATATAGGTTTCAGTAATAGCATAAAGGAAACGAAGAGATGAATTTTGCTAATGAAAGATTGTAAGTTCCTAAAGACACAATAGAATATGGGTGTTTGCAGAGAGACAGGAACTGGGTAGAATCAGGGGAATAAAAAATATGGCAAGTAAGAAACTGAATGACAATTACAACTTGGAAGTTTTCCTTTAATCCTTTCTAATCTCTTCTGGATGGTGCTACAAGTGAAAGGGTGATTTTTTTTAAGAAAACAGAAGTCTTAAATCCAATTCTAATATTGAGTATTTTTAGAATTTGATTAGTATTCTACAGATATATGGTAAAGCAAGTTGAAAAATTTTTCATCAATACCTTGGAACACAACTCATAGTGGTATGTGAGTCATTTTAATTGCAAAAACACACAGGTCTAAGCAAGTTTTAGAACAAGAGTGCTAAAAGGGATAGTCATAAAAAAGAAATTCAAAGTACGATCACAATAATATTATAAATGTGGAAAGGGGCATTAAGATCTAAATGAATCCTATCAAATTTATACAGCCATTTACTGATACTTACATTTAGAGAAAAGCAACTTAAAAGATTAGTGCTGCCTGTTTCCAATAAATATTTCGTCAGTCATAAAACAGTTGGCAGCAAACTGAATTAACATTTATTTAATTCTATAATATAATGCTTAAACATTAAGAATTTGAACAGAAAAAAAGCCTGAGTTCAGAAAAGGGATGGAAAATTTTGCATATAAACCTAATTATCAATTTAAGAGGAAAGGACTGATTAATAGAGCTTTAAAATAACTCCATCAAATCCAACAATATCATTGGAAAACATAGCATGTCATTAGAACAGTAGTTACCTAATTGCTAAGGGTATGCAGAAGCAAAACGTAAAGCAGGAAAGACATTCTGGAAAAGAATGGTTTCACTTTATTATATATTAGTATACATATCTGTAAAATTCAGTCAAGGCCAGTAGCTTTAATTTAAAAATAAAAGTGAGACATCTTCCTGAATCACAAGCCAGTTACTTACATACTTCAGACGAAAGACAAGGTAAAGCTAAAAGCCAAAATAAACTTTTTTGCATTTCATGAAGATAACTTTGTATAAAGCATTTTATATTTATAGACCTATGCTCATCCATATTCAAAACATACCAATTGATATTCATCCTATATATGGTACACCTTAAGTACAATGTAAAACAAGTACATGCTAAATAATTCACTTTAAAAAAAGTTTTGTATGAATTCATTGTTTGTGAAGATATGGATAACTATTTGGAAGAAAACAAGAGACAATATGATAGACAATGAAGATCTCCGGTTGTCTTGCTTTGAAATCTCTGTCTCTTACATTGTTTTCTTATGATCTGTTTTGTTCTGTTTAATTTTACCCTCTTTAAAATAAAATAAAAAAATAATAAAAAGAAACATGATGTACTAATACAATAAATATTTGGAGAAACTGAAAAATATAGTTTTATCTTACTATTTAGTGAAACTGAAAGATAACTAGTTTATCTTAGTAATAATTAATTCATTAAAAAATATTTAGTGAAGACACATACGTTCCAGATACTGAGGATTCTGCAATAGACCAAGTGACATTTCTATTCTCATGTTCTATGTAAGGAGCACCACAGTTTTTTTTTTTGCTTTTTTTTTTCCTATGCTCAGTAGAAAGCAGTTTCCATTCTCCACTATTTACAGCCTAGGATTAGAATTATTTGGACTAGGTAGAATAGAGAGAATTACACAGAATTACCTTTGAGATTTCATTCTATTTGAGTACTCTACTTATTTTGGGGTTAACTCCTAAAAGGATTCAATTTTGAAACATTTACTGAAGTAGAGAATACGCAAATCTAGTCAAAATTTCACAGAATATTTTTCTCCATGTTATATATTTAATCCTGAGAAAGTATTTTTAAACTAATTACAATGAACTGTATCTAAACATCTTCCAGTCCAAAGGCTAAGGCCAGGGACATTTATAAACTCTATTATTAAATATTACTATACGGAAATTAATCATTAAAAAACAAAACAAAAACAAAAAACCAGTTCAAATAAACAAAAGAAAGAAAGAAAGAAAGCCATACGATATGCACAAGTTATCTCACAATTTCTCTCTATTCTGCCTAGTCCAAATAATTCTTATCCGAGGTTGTAAATATTAGAGAATGGAAACTGCTTTCTACCGAGCATTAAAAACAAAAACCAAAAAGCACCTATGGTGCTCCTTACACAGAATTGCTTTCATCTTAATTTTTCTTGAAATGTTTGTAAGACAGAATTAAAAGTCATGCTACAGTATTTAATTTCACTAAACTTCATTGCCCCTACCAGTTAACAGAACAGTAACAATGCCTACCTCTTAATATAGTTTTAAAGTTAAATGAGATAAGGCATAAAAAAGGTCTTACTGCTTCATCACCACTAGTGATATCAATGATCATCATTACTCCAGGTTAGGAACATTCTTAGTAACAACAGCTTAAATGTAAGCTCAGTACAGTCTCAAAAATCACAAACACAACAAACAAGCTACAATAGAAAATCAAAATATTTCTTTATCCAAAATTCCTAAAAATGGCTGAATTTGGAGAAATTTCAGAATGCAAAACCTTCATTAACAAGATGCTTTATCAATATTCTATCTACTACTTCAAAGATTTAGAATATTTTGCCTTTTAGAACATACTTCTTGCCTTTTATTTTATTAGAATGGAGTGGAGTTTGACTAGAATTCAAAAGATAAAAAAACAACCCAGGTAGTGGAGTTAAGACCATTCTAGCCCTAGCCTGATCAGATCATATTGGAAATCTCTAAAATGACTCTATTTAAAGAAAATGAACAGCAATTTTTTTTTTTAAAGAAAGAAAAGAAGCTAAGGACCTGGGGATATGGGTCAATGATAAAGTACTTGCCTAACATGCAAGAGTCCCTACATTTAATCCCTCACACCACACACAAGTACGCACACATGCACAAAAATGGGGGCATGAAAATCCTTGTAATCTAATGGAAAGCTCTTTATGTTTAACTAAATCTGGAAAATAAAGATGAACTACAAATAAAGGAAAGAACAAAGTCCTGAAATAAAGTAAAAACATTAACAGGACTCTTTAAAAACTCTTTAAATCTCAAAAGATTATCAGGAAAACCAAAAAATCTTCAAATGCAGAGGTCACATATCCAACACTCACCCAACCACTGGAAGGAGATCTCTTGGACACCCAGAAGCTTGAATCAGCTGAAATAGTACCAAGTTTTTACTGATTACTCTTAACAGGGAAACGGCGCACAGGCTAACTCCATACTATCAAAAATTAAAGGAAATTATTATACATAATTCTAGTTATTATTATTAAAAACAATTAAAAGGAAAAAGGACTGAGGAATGAGTTCCAAGGTAAATGAAACTTACTGTGTGTCTATATGTAAATGTGTGTATTTCCTCCAGCTTAGTCATGTAAGTGTGAAAAATATAGTGATAAAACAAAGATTCCCTAACTTAAATCTTAAGCCATGTAAGATATTTCAATACTGGTTGAATATAAAACATTTTAAGAAAAAAATTGTCTTCTGCAATTAATGCAAACTTCCCAACACAGAGTACTTTAGTAACACATAGGAAAAAGTTTATAGTCTCTTGTACTTGAAAAAAAATTCTTCTTAACCTTAGGCCTTTGAATTGTCCTAATGATTCTATTCAGAGGACTCATATTTCAAAACATGAAAGAACTCATATTGCTTAACATTAAAGCAAACTATAGAAAAGATTCTCGAAAATGAAGAGTACTTTCAATATTATTAAAACATTGAAGTTATCAATTTAACAGAAATATTTGAGGGCATCTAATTTTAAAGAATAAAACAGAGCCACCACCTACATGAGAATATAATGTTTTCTTAATCTTGAGAAGATGAGGGACAGTATTATATTCCCTAAGAGAAACCATAAACTTACTCCAAAGATTTATGGGGTAGAAAATAAAAAGACATTGTATTACTACAGAAAAAACTAAAAACAAAAAGTAGAAGATTCTGTATTTTTCCCAAATAACTAAAAGAGTATAAAAACTACTTCCTAATGAATGTATGTCAAGAGAACAAGTAAAACAACATGAATTTGGTTTCAACAGTTTAGGACAGACAAGTAAAAAAAAAATTAAGTGTCAAGAAAGAATTCCAACGATTTATTAAAATAATGTGCCAGGCAAATATACTCCAACATGGCTGATATTTAACTGTAGAGATAAGTTTGTGATATAACACTCCTATAATTTATTGAACACTTAATTCTTGAACCATGAGAATAGCAATAAAATAAGGAAATCCAGAATATGTATAAAGTATTTTAAAAGGTACCTAGAGTAATGGAGGAAAATGTATGATAAAGTCAGAAAAAGCTGTAAGAATAAAATGCCAAAAAGGAATGCCTAAATACAATACTAACACTACACTGATTTGGAATCTTACTGTTATTAAAAATATAACCAGAAAGTAAAGATACAGAATGAATTAAGACCATAGTACAGACTGACATATAAAAAATCTTGACTGATGTATATACAAGACTCTTGTCTGAGGAAAAATTCAAACAGTTAAAAGTTTCTATTGTGAAATTTAAACAACAAAGCACACCACTGTATTACCTTTCTTTCGAAAGAGTGCATTTAGATAATTTTCTGCTTGGCATTCAATCTTATCAGTGTTGGACTGGCCCTGAGATGATAATTCCTCTGTTGGTGTTGACTGTGAAGAATCAAGAGATGGTATACAATCCTAAAATTATAAAAAAAATGCAACATATGAAATGAAACCTAAAACTTTTTAAAAATTGCAAAAATTAACTTTGTAAATTCACATTTTTTACCTCATAAATTATATCAAATTATATCAAAGGAACATAAAATTTTGTACAACAGTCAGGAAAAAAGAAATTAAGTTCTGAAAGAGGTCCCAAATTCCTGATTTTTTAGCAGTTTAGGTTATTTCCAAGATCTGCTATTACAAATTGTGCTGCTATAAACATGGGTGCACATATATCACTGTGATATGATGTTTTCAATTCTTCTGGGATAAAAAAAAGATGTGGTATTTTTATACAATGGAATACTACTCAACTATACAGAATGATCACACTGAGATCTTTATAAGTAAGTGGATGCATGCAACTTGAGACCATACTCGTAAGTGAAATAAATCAAACTCACATGTGTAAATACCATATTCATTTCATTTCATTACACATAATATAATACATAGTTTTAAAAAAAGAAGAGCGGTTGAAACATAAAATATATGGCTGAATCAATTCACTATATGGTATGCTAGTACAGTAATTCTATCAGAGTTTTAACAATAAAGTACATATATTTACTCACTAATCTGTACAAAATCAGTAGATTCTCAAGTTTTCATTTCTTCACAGTTCTCACAGCAGTGGGTAAGAAATCTGAGTATCCTACCATACAAGTTGCTGGTTGTATAGTTTATGTCCTATATCCAGTAGGTATTCATACAGGAAATATTTATGAAAGCCAAAAGACATCAAGAGTAAGTGAAAGGCTAAAAATTAGCAGCACATTTTCCCCTTAGTAGAGATTCCTAAGAAATCAGATTGTAGGGTAATCTCAGCCCAAGCAAGGCCTCTAATCTCATCCTATATACCTAAATACCAAAATGACTTCAAATAAATTCATAAGCCAGGAAAATAAGAACTAAATATGAAATGAGCAGAGAAGATGAGTACTTCTTTGGGTTTTTCACCTGCAAATTAAACTAAACTAAATTTTGGACTTTTAGTATAAACTTTTATGTATTTCTTTCACCTAGCAAAATCACGTATTTAAACTTTTGATGGTGAGTCACAAATTTTCAGGACAAATTAAGTTAAAAAAAGAATTCCATTATGATTGTGCAATTAGTTTAAAAATAATTTCATGGCACTAAAACTTACACTGACTGCTTCTCTCTGTAGGTTACAAAATGAACATTTTTCATCCATAGACCAGTCAGTCAGCTCTTCTGGTTCACAGTCTTTAAAAGAGGGAAAAATATTCATTAAATACACTAACTTTATTATAATCAATAAAAATTCCCACTCTCCACAGCAATGGTGAAAGGACAAAAAACAAAACAAAATAACAACCACCAAAAAAGACCCCATTAGCTACTAACGGTAAGGAGAGGAGTCTAACTTTAAATTCCTGATGTCTAGAAAAAAAGAGAAGGCCATTAAAAGACTACTACAATTTTACACTATTATGAGACAAAACAGCAAGAACAATTGAACTGGTTACAAATTAATAGCTCTCCAACAAGAGAGTGGCATATCACCTAGCTTTCTGGAATATTCCATTTATCATGTTAGATAATTTTATTTTTATTTCACAGTGAAGGAAATCAGAATAAAGAAGGTGATATGGAGAGGAAAGGACAAAATTTTGTACCTCATGAAAGATAACATAAAACAGAAAAGTGAAAGTAAGGACCAGGCAAGCCCCACAAATTTGACAAAACAGGTATCTATAAAACAAGCAGTAATTCATAGAACAAAAGTCAGATCAGACTTTTATTACATTTTTAAAAACTTTATTACAAAAATTAAGAGTAAAAATCTGGTCAAAAATAAGAGATATTATTTGATATCAAGTATGGATTATTTTTTCAATAATTAGATTATAAAAGGATTACATGTTAGATTATAAAAGGATTATATGTTAGATTATAAAAGGATTCCTTATAATCTAACAGCTGTACTGTATTAGAAAGTTTCTGGAGAACAAAAGCATTTTCTACTAAAATAAATTTTTGAAAAATGTAACAACATTGTCATTTTAACTATACTTAGTAGAGACACTACTTTTCAAATTACTCCTTCAGCAGAGTGTCACTTCAATATTTTCCCAAATACATTCATATTCAGAACTTCAAAATCTTTATCATCTGAGACAGTTACACTGTGTCTGATTTGAAAAATGCTGGTGTGCCTCAGATATTTTCTTTAATGCTTCTAAAATACACAATGCAGTTGAATATATTCCTCTGCTAAGCAGAAACAAAGCCTACTTGTTTTTAAACATAGTGAAAAAACAGTACTAGTTAGCATCCCCTGCATTAACCCAAATACACAGAATAGGTCATTTGTTGATCGTACAAAAACTGTAGTGCCATCTCCATTTTGACAATGGTATACAAATAATACTGATATTTACATGAATTGGTAAGGGCAAGAAATGGGAACACAAGATACAGAACAGAGTAACAGAGAATGAAATCTGAAGTCTCTGAAAGTCTGGAACATTATGTAGTTGAAATAACTTAACCACAATGGTTTTTGTTTTAATTGCCTTATGTGTAAGATGAGGGCCATATCACATAACTCACTTGTATATCTAATGAAAAAATATGGAAATATATGGTACAAAGTATAAAATATAATTAGCTGGGCATGATAGCATATGCCTATAATCCCAGCACTCTAGGAAGCTGAGGCAGGTGTATCAAAGTTCAAGCTTACCTTGAGCAACTTTGTAATTTATCAAGACCCTGCCTCAAAATAAAATATATAAAAGGGCTGGGAATATAGGTCAATACAAAGGCTCTTGATTCAATCTCCAGTACCATAAGGCCTAACTAAACCATAATGCATAGGCTAGGTATTAACCAGGTAAAATTACCAGTGATTACTTTTTAACCTTTATTTTGTACATTGTTTTGTAAATCTTTTTATTTTGTATTTTAAAAACAAAACAAAACAAAACAAAACAAAAAAACAGGATAAAAATACAGAATTTCAAAAAACCCCAGGAAATTAACACTAATATATTGCATACTGCTATCTTGAAAATAGTTGCTCAGATGATAAGATTTAGGCATAAAAAATGATTGAACAATTGGACAATTAAAACACAACTGTTTTTGATGAACAGACAGTAACACTATCTTGTATGTATATATATATATATATATATATATATATATATACACAAAACCATATATACATATATATATACATACCCACATATATATATGTATAAATATATATATATACATGTATTATCTTTTTCCTATTTTCTTTTCTCTTTTCCCCTATCTCAGTTGTTCTTTCCTTTTGAGTACTTTCTCTTCCTTTCCCAATATCTATTGTACATTTTGGATGTTATTCAATCTTTTTCTTTTTAACACTAGGGAGACAATACAGTAGTCACACATGCAAGTCTGATTCAGTTCACTTATGAGTATGGTATCTAGTTGTACCCATTTACCTATAAAAACCTCAAGTTTATTCTTTATTATAGTAAGTAATACTCTACTGTTTTATATGTTTTTAACACAATTTGCAGGAGACATAATTTTAATAGAATATCTGATCATGCAAATTGATTACTTCCCTATAAACAACTCTGCAAATCAAATTTTAAATAATCTATATGGTTAAAAAAGAGATATTTTTTAATCCATTCCTCAGTTGATGTGCATTTAGGTTATTTCCAAGATCTGCTATTACAAATTGTGGTGCTATAAACATGGGTGCACATATATCACTGTGATATGATGTTTTCAATTCTTCTGGGATAAAAAAAGATATTCCATTATACAATGGAATACTACTCAACTATACAGAATGATCACACTGAGATCTTTATAAGTAAGTGGATGCATGCAACTTGAGACCATACTCGTAAGTGAAATAAATCAAACTCACCTGTGTAAATACCATATTGTCTCCCTAGTGTAAGAAAAGGTCAGAGTACATAAAATACGAAATCCTCACTAAATATGGTGCAAGGGTAAGAATCTGCTCAAAGGAAAAAAAATAATACTTCAGAGAAAAGGAGGAAAAAGAAAAAGGGAAAAGAAAAAATATCTAAATTTGTATAAACAGGATAGCTAAGATGATTGTGATACAAATTCTATAAGTTCATAGAACAAAGCAGTTAACATTCATAGGACTGGAACAATTTTGTATGTTTGTGTCTGGTGACCTGAGGAACTCTTGAAGCTTATTATGTAAAATAGCAACCTTACTTCTGTTCCTACCACCTTGTTTTAAAAGCCTATATTGTCATTGTTTTGGGCTCTTTGATATTGTTATTTGTCTTTGTTTATTTTTCTAGTAATCTGTTTTATTTTCTTTTTCTCTCTAATGCAGAAAGGATAGGTTTACATGTAGAGGTTTATACATGCCTAGAACTTCTAAACAGTTTATGAGAATCGATTATATTATGTGTAACGAAATGAACAGCTACTTGGAAGAAAAAGAGACATTATGGTATCTACTGCTGATTCCGTATCATCATGCTGTGAAATCTAGTCTTTGTTCAGAGTGGCTTTAGTCTGTTTTGTATTGCTTAATTTTAACATATATGAAGGTATGGACAGCTATTTGGAAGAGAACAAGAGACATCGCAGCCATTTTTAATTTTCCTATTGCCTGGTTTTAAAGGCCTATAGTGCCTTCATTACTCTGTTCTGATTAGTTTTATACTATTTTGTTTTGGATGAATTCATTGTATGTAAAGATATAGATAACTATTTAGAAGAATACAAGAGATATTATGGTAGCCCCTGTAGATTTCCTGTTGTCTTGCTTTGAAATCTGTTTGTCTTGCTTTGTCACTTACATTGTTTTGTTTCTGATCTGGTTTGTTCTATTTTGTTATGTTTACCTTTTTTAAAATAAAAAATTTAAATTTAAAATTAAAAAAAGAGGTACTTATTACAGAACTGTAGGTCTGCATATATATGTTGTTTTGAACATTTTATACACTTGACAGAACAGATTCATACATACACGTTCTTTGTACACAGGATCATGAAGTGTCTATTACTAGAAAAGTGGAGCTCTCTAACAATGAAAGGAATCAAGGAGAAGTGTGCCTTGCAAGTTGAGTATTTCTGCTAGTTCACTTCCTTTTCCTCTCACTCAGTATGAGAACTTGTCCCAGATAGCTATGACTCCTTCAGCCTGGAACTTGTAATCATGTGAGAAGCTATGAATCTTATCCAGTCTGTAGGCCAGCTGACTCAGATCACCTGTGCTACACATTTTGGAGTTCTTATGCAGCAGTGTAGCAAAAATGTGACTCATATGTCAAGACACAATTTTGATAGGTCAAGAAAATCATAATAATTTTTTTAAACATAGCCTCATGAAAGAAATATATGGTAAGTATATGAAAAATACTTGGCAGACCTAGTTTAGGGTTATTTTAAATTTGTTGCTAAGTTTAGTTATGTTCCAGTAATAAATATGTTGACAGTGATTTTAAATCAGTTAAGACAATTACTAGTTGTAAGAGAAAGATCAAAGTATACTGAGATTGTCACTTCTTTATTTCAGTAAGAGCTCTTCAAGACAACATAAATTTAAATAAATACATAGCTAAATAAATGGCACTGAATGATCAACTGAATAGAGGCTATTAAATTCTGCTCTGTTCAAAAGTGTATAGCTTTGCTTACAAATATTTAATAATTACTCTTTCTACAAAATTTTTGCTTTTAAGTCAAATAAATGATAGGGGAATACTTTTTTTCCTCTTCTCCAATTATCTTTTCATGTAATTAAAATACATAATTTATTTCTCAAGAAACTGACAACAAATCAGATTTATCTTTAAAACAAGTTATCTTCTTTCTTAAAATGTTAATGCATACTGTTAAGTCTAAAGGTTAAATAATGTACTTAGAAACAGACATTAATAAAAAGGCAATGTCACAATGAAAGCTGATAGTAAATAACAGACAAAGGTCAATCTTTCCTTTGGCTGTTCACTGGTATTTGGCTATACCACTGGCTATTCACTCTAGTTAAATCTGGCTCAAAGCATCTTATCTAATCTATCTCAGAAAGTTAACAGACTAAAATCTAAGAACCTTAGTACTGAACCGTGGGTTTTTCTACATACTAGATGTGGCCTCAGCAATTTCCTTGGTTTCATTATCCTCACTTGTAAAATGAAAATAATAGCTACATCTTAAACTAGTAAAATTAAATAAAACTACATACAGCATTATTTCAAAAGATATTC